ATATTTTGATCAGCTCCTCATTAACAACGGTGTTGAGGGTGGCAAGATAAATGAATGTAGTCTCCTGTGCACGAGTTTCTCAAAGATTTTGGATAGCAATGGTAAGTTTGATATTGGCCTATAGTTGTTTAAATCTGTAGGGTCACCACCTTTATGTATTGGTGTAACAAGGTACTTTTCATTGTGTTGTTAGGTAAGACACATATGCAACAGTTAGACAACTTTATTCCGAAACGTTTCGCCTACACAGTAGGCTTCTTCAGTCGAATACAGAAAGTAGGCAGGAACAGTAGAGATGTGAAGACGATGTAATCAGTCCATCACCCTTGAAGTCGTAGAATTTGAGGTTGTCAGTCCCTCGGCCTGGAGAAGTTCAGTTCCATAGTCAGGAACTATCTGAAGATCAAGCGACAGTGCGGAGACTTAAATACTGTCGGAAGGAGAGGTGCAGAGTAGTAGTAGTAGTAGTGAGAATGTAGCCACTGAGAGGTCATGTCCCTCTCAGATCTAACACTTCTCACTTGCAAAGCTTGTCAAAGGTGTTTTCTGTACCAAGATGCCATGTGTTGCAGTGTCTGACAAGATGAACATCAAAATGGTATACAATACCGACAGGTTGTTAGGTAAGACACATGTGCAACATATGTGGCATATGTGTCTTACCTAACAACCTGTCGGTATTGTATACCATTTTGATGTTCAACTTTTCATTGTAAAACCAGTCAAAATCATCTCAATTTCTATGATATGCCTTCCATTCTATAAAATGAGACCAAGAAAACTAGAATACAACAATAAATACCATACGAAAATACAGTGCAAAGTCGCTGTTTTATTCCAAAAAAACGGTCAAAGGTTTTTTTTTCTCATTATGCACTGTGTGCTGCAGGATTTTTTTTATACCGTGCACACTGACCACATAGACCCATTCTTTCATATGGAGGCCTACCAGCTTTCTCCCACTAGATTTGAGGGCGCTAGAATTTAGGTGTACTAGTACGTCAAAAACCCTGGGTCGTAAGCCGTACTAGTACATCCGAAACCCTCAAAGGGTTAAATGACGGTCTACTGTATGTCATAGTGTATGAGAGGAGTAAAAGGTGTAAGTGTTATTGTTGGGTTTAAGGGCCACCACTGAGAGAAGCTGTGTTGGTGGCAGTGGAGGATTTTGCCAGCACCACCATCACACTTAAACAATGTATGTAATTTATAAATAAGAAATATTTACAGAATGTAGAATTGCAGATGAGCAAGGAGGTTTTAGAGTGGGTAGGGGATGTGTAGATCAAGTGTTTACATTGAAGCATATATGTGAACAGTATTTAGATAAAGGTAGGGAAGTTTTTATTGCATTTATGGATTTAGAAAAGGCATATGATAGAGTGGATAGGAGAGCAATGTGGCAGACGTTGCAAGTATATGGAATAGGTGGTAAGTTACTAAATGCTGTAAAGAGTTTTTATGAGGATAGTGAGGCTCAGGTTAGGGTGTGTAGAAGAGAGAGAGACTACTTCCCAGTAAAAGTAGGTCTTAGACAGGGATGTGTAATGTCACCATGGTTGTTTAATATATTTATAGATGGGGTTGTAAAAGAAGTAAATGCTAGGGTGTTCAGGAGAGGGGTGGGATTAAATTATGGGGAATTAAATACAAAATGGGAAGTGACACAGTTACTTTTTGCTGATGATACTGTGCTTATGGGAGATTCTAAAGAAAAATTGCAAAGGTTAGTGGACGAATTTGGGAATGTGTGTAAAGGTAGAAAGTTGAAAGTGAACATAGAAAAGAGTAAGGTGATGAGAATATCAAATGATTTAGATAAAGAAAAATTGGATATCAGATTGGGGAGATGGAGTATGGAAGAAGTGAATGTTTTCAGATATTTGGGAGTTGACGTGTCAGCGGATGGATTTATGAAGAATGAGGTTAATCGTAGAATTGATGAAGGAAAAAAGGTGAGTGGTGCATTGAGGTATATGTGGAGGCAAAAAATTTTATCTATGGGGGCAAAGAAGGGAATGTATGAAAGTATAGTAGTACCAACACTCTTATATGGGTGTGAAGCTTGGGTTGTAAATGCTGCAGCAAGGAGGTGGTTGGAGGCAGTGGAGATGTCCTGTCTAAGAGCAATGTGTGGTGTAAATATTATGCAGAAAATTCGGAGTGTGGAAATTAGGAGAAGGTGTGGAGTTAATAAAAGTATTAGTCAGAGGGCTGAAGAGGGTTTGTTGAGGTGATTTGGTCATTTGGAGAGAATGAATCAAAGTAGAATGACATGGAGAGCATATAAATCTGTAGGGAAAGGAAGGCGGGGTAGGGGTCGTCCTCGAAAGGGTTGGAGAGAGGGGGTAAAGGAGGTTTTGTGGGTAAGGGGCTTGGACTTCCAGCAAGCGTGCGTGAGCGTGTTAGATAGGAGTGAATGGAGACAAATGGTATTTGGGACCTGACGATCTGTTGGAGTGTGAGCAGGGTAATATTTAGTGAAGGGATTCAGGGAAACCGGTTATTTTCGTATAGTCGGACTTGAGTCCTGGAAATGGAAAGTACAATGCCTGCACTCTAAAGGAGGGGTTTGGGATATTGGCAGTTTGGAGAGATATATTGTGTATTTTTATACGTATATACTTCTAAGCTGTTGTATTCTGGGCACCTCTGCAAAAACAGTGATTATGTGTGAATGAGGTGAAAGTGTTGAATGATGATGAAAGTATTTTCTTTTTGGGGATTTTCTTTCTCTTTGGGTCACCCTGCCTCGGTGGGAGACGGCCGACTTGTTGAAGAAAAAAAAAATTTACATTTTAATTTATAAATAAGAAATATTTACATTTTAATTTATAAATAAGTAAGGTTATTCAGGTGTACACAAATACAGTTACATAGATCATCATACATAGCAGCATATGTGTAAAGAACCTAGGATAACCCAAAAAAGTCGGAGTGACTTACGTATTTTCATTGTAGTCCTTTTATATTTACACTTAATATATTTACTTTTATGCTTACACTTTTATATTTACACTTACCTTGGAGGAGATGTTAGTTTAATTAGTTAGTTTGATGGAGGAGATGCTGGCAGAGGTTTAAGGTAGTGGAAGATAGCAGGCTGACATATGCTCATCAGATGTACATAAATCTAAGAACATTGAAGAGTTACTTTTGTGTCGTTTTTCTATCGCTTACTCGCTTAACTTACTTGCTACACTGTTAATTCTACACTTTATCGCTGGCTGGCACTATAGCCTTTATCGATACTTGCTGCTTTAGTATCTACATATCGTAGAATCAGTGAATCACTGCAGAAGGCACAGTCTCCCCTCTCTCTTCCTCCTCCACTTTGGTACTTTTTTAGGAGTTTTTTCTTGAATTTTACTGTGTTTCTTTACTTCATTATCACTGGGCTGGCACTAGAAACTTTCTTTGGGCCCATGGTGGGTTATTTAACAGTTACAAGCACTAAAAGCACTGGAATAATACAAAATATATCACAGGTACACGTGGAATTGACCAAAATGGCTTGTAAACACTGGCACACTTGCTATACATGGAGTCTTGGAGTGGCTGGGCCCACTCAGGCCACGCTCTGGTCCCATGGACAAGTTCAGCACAAACATCGTTAGATGAGTTTTTCGCTGTTGGTAGAGCCATTTTTTTTTACACCAAAGAGCACCGTTAGATGAATTTGCCATTACTTGATGCCACCGTTGGTTGAGGGTCCACTATATTACTATTGATTTGTGTCCTGTGCATGCCAGGGATGAATGATAAGGCTTCGGAGGCTTCTTAATTTATTTGGGTTCGTGGTACACGGGCATTGTGTTTAAGTGCCCTGGGGAACCCAGAGGGCCATGCCTGCAAGGAAGAGAGTGGTGGAGCTGTTGACTAAGTTGAGTTGGTGGCAAGTGAGATTGAGGCAGGTCTGGGTATGTCTACCTAGAGACCTGCCTTCTTGTGGAAACTTTGGAAAGTAGCCATTTAGGCTTACTGTCTTCACCTCTTCCTTGTCCTAAACCTGATTATCTCCTATTGTCCAGGTGCTGTACAATGCCTTTGGGTGTAGCACTTCCTCATGAATCATCATCTTTTCTTCCTTCAACAAACCGGCCGTATCCCACCGAGGGAGGGTGGCCCAAAAAGAAAAACTAAAGTTTCTACTTTTCAGTTTAGAAATACATACAGGAGAAAGGGTTACTAGCCCCTTGCTCCTGGCATTTTAGTTGCCTCTTACTACACACATGACTTACGGAAGAAGAATTCTGTTCCACTTCCCCATGGAGATAAGCAGAAATAAACAAGAACAAGAACTAGTAAGGAAATAGAAGAAAACTCAGAGGGTTATATATATATATATATACTTGTACATGCATGTGTAGTGTGACCCAAGTGTAAGTAGAAGTAGCAAGACATACCTGAAATCTTGCATGTTTATGAGACAGAAAAAAGACACCAGAAATCCTTCCATCATGCAAAACAATTGCAGGTTTGCATTTCACACTCGCTTGGCAGGACGGTAGTACCTCCCTCAGAGATTGCTGTCTACCAACATACTACCTAGGTTCCTCATGAATATAATGATAATACTACTATAGTAGTAGTAATAATAGTAACAGTTATGCCATCTAAGTAGTGCTTGTCTTCCTCGCCTGTTTTTCTCATGAAGCAGCAGTCAGTCTATGTCTTTAATGTATAGGTGTCCCTTGTTTTATGCAGCAGAGGTGTTCCAGGCCCACATCAGTTGTAGTAAGTTCAGTCAAGTCATCAACACTTAATTCCACACAACAAAAATTTTTTTAAATGTTTTGCAAACAATACCGATTCAATAAAGTGAGTGTGTGACTTCACCTATGAATTACTGATTGAAATTGAGCATTGCATAATAGCACATTCACATAAAGCAGACCCACATTTTATGAAATATTTTAGTTGTGGTTTATTAATGAAAGTTTATGAAGTACATTCTAATTTAAATTGTAGTTGCCACATATTTTCTCTTGTTATTGATATGAAAGAGTCAGGTGGTGTGAAAATAAAGACAATACAATGTTTTATAATTCTTATCCTAGGTGTGAGGAACGTAGTCGTGCCCTGGAGCTGTGCTCGTGGGGGTTTGAGAACGAGACAGTACTTAATAGCTTCTTATCACAGTTAGAAGCTACTGGAAATCACACTCGAGCTGCAGCAGTTGCAGTTTTTAATCAGCGTTTAAAACAAGCCATACTGATATTACAAAGAGGAGCATCTAGTAAGAAGTTGCCAGCTCTAAACTCAACAGCAATGGCTCTCTCAGGTACGTTATAGATAAAGTATGGCATAACCGACAAGTGGTAAAAAGGTACATACAGCAAAAGGAAACTTTATTAGTTCAAAGTTTCACCTGTATGAGGATTTATCAAGCCTTGTGCAGGTAAGACATTATGAGGGACTCTTGACCTAAGGAACTATATCATTGTTCCCTTCCTTAAATCACACCTGAATGCCTCCCAGTCTCTCAGGTGCTGCATGACCTCCATGGGTTTAGAACTCTCCCCTATGAATATAATAATAATGTACTAATAAAAGCCTTTATTTTGCTCTGTGCCTTTTTTACCAAGTACTTTATAGAGTACTTGGCATTTTTGGAGTAAATGATTGTCTTTTTTTCAGGCTGATGTTGCTGAATCATCTTCATATTTTGCAATGTACGTTTATCATTTTATCCTTTACTAAATAAATGAGTCTGTCATTTGTTAGACTGTACATGTTACTAGATCCCTAGCCAGATGTGAAGGTGTGCTTGTGAGGTCACTCATGCAGTTACTGGGCATTCTTAGTTACTGTCAAGAATGAACGTCACATACAGTACTTTATATCTTTTCAAACTTACATAATTATGATATTATACTATTAATATTATAGCTTTTTGTACATCTGGTTAAATCCCTTTTGCATAAGCCTTTATGTGTTGAATAACAGTCGAAATTCCTTGGATGGAGCAATTCACAATTAACCCAAAAATTGGAAATGAAAACAGTAACATTTTGGACTATTATCAAGTTATTCATATGTGCCAAACAGCAGTTACATATTCTTTAAATTCCTATGCCATCTCAGCTGTGTGTGTTTTAGTACCTCTGTTGGGAACATGAAACCCTTATGTCAATTACTGAGATTTCCTTATTAGCTATGGATTATTAGCCTAACTGAGTGAGTATCAAATCATACACAACATCTGTTGGATATGTTTCATATCCAAACTTCTATCTTTTAATTTTTTTGATGCATTGGCTGTCTCACACCGAGTTAAGGTGACCCAAAAAAAAGAGGAAACACATTCACCATTACTCGTTCAATCACTGTCTTGCCAGAAGTATGCTGTCATCATAGTTCAGATGATCCACCAAACTACAACATATCCTCCCCTCCTTCAGAATGTAGGCACTGTACCTCTCACCTCCAGAAGTCCAGCTAATTGGTTTCCCTGAATTCCTCTACAAGTGTTACCTTTCTCACACTCCAACAGCATGTCAAGTTATTAAAACCACTTGCCTCCACCTGTCCCTATCCATTGTGCTCATGCAAGCATGCTAGACGTCCAGACCTCTAGCACTCAAAACTTCCTATACCCTCTTTCTCCAGCCTTTCCTAGGATGACTCTACCCATCTTTCCTTGCCTAGTCATTCTGTTTTGATCTGTCCTCTCTAAAAGTTCAAACCACCTCAACAGTCCCTCCTCAGCCGTCTAAATAATTCTTTTGGTAACCCCACACTTTCAAATCTTCAAGCTGTGAATTCTCTGCATAATATTCACACCATACATTGCTTTCAAACACAGTATCTCCACTGCCTTCAGCCTCCTCCTCACTGCAACATTTAAAACCCATTCTTCACACCCATTTAACAATGCCAGTACCATTTTACTCTGGTATACTTCCCTTTAGAATATACTAATACTATAATGTACTATAATAGTGAGAGGCAAAACAATGAGTATACATGTACTGTATGTTTCAAAAATAATAATCACCAAAATGTAATTGCCCCAATATTGTCTCGTCTAGGTTTCACAGAGGAACGTAAAGGCTTGTGGAGAGAAACGTGTGTGAACCTACGTACCCAGTTAACAGATCCTTATCTTCGTGCAATGTTTGCATTCCTCACTGATGATGCGGATTCATATGATCCAGTACTAGTAAGTGTTAATTACTACATTCTTCATTCATGTTCTCATTTTTTTAAGTGGACACTGAGAGCAATATTTGGGGGTCTGGACAATGAAAGGGTTAAGAACACGTTTGCATTGTTTGATGCATTGTGCATAAAAGTTTGACTGTCATTGCATTGATAATTTAGATTTAGCTTGAGTTACTCTTAATAAATTGTTGACTTTTGCCAGCAATTAATTATAATTATATCACCCATAGGGAGAAACTGAAATGGCAATTGAAGATAGAGTGGCTTTTGCTTGCACATACCTCAGTGATGTACGTTTGATGGAGTACTTAGAAAAGTTGAATACACAGCTCACAGAGGAAGGCAACTTGGATGGCATCCTACTCTCAGGTATTGTATCTGTCAGTATAGTACATGTGTATGGCTTCTGTATGTTATGTTTGTGTGTTATGTTTATTTACTGCATATTATTAAGCTGATGGTATTCACTGAGGTGAGACTCCTTTTCCCCTGCCTCCCTCTTTCCCTTCATCCCTCCCCTCCCCTCTCCTTCCCTATTCCTTCTCCTCCCCTATTCCCTTCCTCTTCCTTTCCCTCCTCCTCCATTCTCACCATCCACAAATATTTAAGAAACAGCACAGTAAAAGTAATTAGTCAGTAATACTTATTATGGGTTTTGTGATTTCTGGACTTGAGTCCTGGAGGGAGGAAGTACAACACCTGCACTTTAACCCTTAAATGGTCCAAACGTATATATACGTTTTTTCAACATCTGAAAGTATGTAAAAAAATGTAGATCTTCTTTTTTGTTTTACATTTGAAAATGTGTAAAAAAAACTTTTATCTACATTTTTTTTTGTTATATTTGAAAATATGTAAAAAAAAGTAGATCTACTTTTGTAGCACTACGAATTTGAACGTCAATCTCTTTGGACCATTTAAGGGTTAAAGGAGGGGTTAGGGATATTGGCCATTTGGAGTGACATCTAAACTGTCTTATCTGGTGTTACGCGCCCCTACTTCACTCCATTGTATACAAAAATAAAAGGCCTGGTTAAAATAAGTTCTGTAATAATATGTCGTGAACCACTTTATTACTAGCTAGATAAAGCAGGTTCGACTATATATTATTATCGGGTACGGTATGAATCATCAACAGTATATTTTATTTTATTATTTTATTATCACACTGGCCGATTCCCACCAAGGCAGGGTGGCCCGAAAAAGAAAAACTTTCACCATCATTCACTCCATCACTGTCTTGCCAGAAGGATGCTTTACACTACAGTTTTTAAACTGCAACATTTACACCCCTCCTTCAGAGTGCAGGCACTGTACTTCCCATCTCCAGGACTCAAGTCCGGCCTGCCGGTTTCCCTGAACCCCTTCATAAATGTTACTTTGCTCACACTCCAACAGCACGTCAAGTAATAAAAACCATTTGTCTCCATTCACTCCTATCAAACACGCTCACGCATGCCTGCTGCAAGTCCAAGCCCCTCGCACACAAAACCTCCTTTACCCCCTCCCTCCAACCTTTCCTAGGCCGACCCCTACCCCGCCTTCCTTCCACTACAGACTGATACACTCTTGAAGTCATTCTGTTTCGCTCCATTCTCTCCACATGTCCGAACCACCTCAACAACCCTTCCTCAGCCCTCTGGACAACAGTTTTGGTAATCCCGCACCTCCTCCTAACTTCCAAACTACGAATTCTCTGCATTATATTCACACCACACATTGCCCTCAGACATGACATCTCCACTGCCTCCAGCCTTCTCCTCGCTGCAACATTCATCACCCATGCTTCACACCCATATAAGAGCGTTAGTAAAACTAAACTCTCATACATTCCCCTCTTTGCCTCCAAGGACAAAGTTCTTTGTCTCCACAGACTCCTAAGTGCACCACTCACCCTTTTCCCCTCATCAATTCTATGATTCACTTCATCTTTCATAGACCCATCCGCTGACACGTCCACTCCCAAATATCTGAATACATTCACCTCCTCCATACTCTCTCCCTCCAATCTGATATCCAATCTTTCATCACCTAATCTTTTTGTTATCCTCATAACCTTACTCTTTCCTGTATTCACCTTTAATTTTCTTCTTTTGCACACCCTACCAAATTCATCCACCAATCTCTGCAACTTCTCTTCAGAATCTCCCAAGAGTACAGTGTCATCAGCAAAGAGCAACTGTGGCAACTCCCACTTTATGTTTGATTCCTTATCTTTTAACTCCACGCCTCTTGCCAAGACCCTCGCATTCACTTCTCTTACAACCCCATCTATAAATATATTAAACAACCACGGTGACATCACACATCCTTGTATAAGGCCTACTTTTACTGGGAAATAATTTCCCTCTTTCCTACATACCCTAACTTGAGCCTCACTATCCTCGTAAAAACTCTTCACTGCTTTCAGTAACCTACCTCCTACACCATACACCTGCAACATCTGCCACATTGCCCCCCTATCCACCCTGTCATACGCCTTTTCCTAATCCATAAATGCCACAAAAACCTCTTTAGCCTTATCTAAATACTGTTCACTTATATGTTTCACTGTAAACACCTGGTCCACACACCCCCTACCTTTCCTAAAACCTCCTTGTTCATCTGCTATCCTATTCTCCGTCTTACTCTTAATTCTTTCAATAATAACTCTACCATACACTTTACCAGGTATACTCAACAGACTTATCTCCCTATAATTTTTGCACTCTCTCTTGTCCCCTTTGCCTTTATACAAAGGAACTATGCATGCTCTCTGCCAATCCCTAGGTACCTTACCCTCTTCCATACATTTATTAAATAATTCCATACATTTATTAAATAATTGTAATAATATATCGCGAACCACTTTATTACTAGCTAGATAAAGCAGGTTCGACTATATATTATTATCGGGTACGGTACTCTCATTGTACTATTATATTGTATTATATTATATCTTTCCCCATGATTATTATAATTATAATATTATATTATATTATTATTAGGTTAGGTATTACGAATGTGTAACCACTACTGTAGTGACCAATTGGTGGTTCTAGAATTGACGCCACGCGTCGCTTTCTGGCCGAGCTGAAGTCATACTATGAAGTAGTTGAGGGAGTCAGTCAGCTCGTAGCTCTGATTCGGTACGGGTCTTCAACCCAAAGCTCCTAGCTTAAACTAAAACTTTATACCAAGTCTATTGTCTTGCCTTTGCCATTAGTTACCTGAAGTCTGGTAATTCATGTCACTTATGAAAGATAACTATTTCATTACCCTAGACCTTTCTAAAAGAGTTAAATGGTGAGATTAGTAGATTATTAATTGAAATTATTGTATCATACTCTGTTAATGAGAATTTGAACGTAAGATTGGGTTCCTTGCTGTATAGTATTTCATTTATAATTGCTTGTGGTTATTTTAATTCACTAACCAAATACCAATGAAGCTAAACGATTGGTAATAAAATAAAACTAACAAAAGATTGGAGTTATTTGTGCCCCTATTGTTACGGTGAAGATTAAGTCGTAACATCTGGGCACCTCTGCAAAGACTGATTATATATGAATGATAGTGAAAGTGTTTCTTTCTTTTTTGGGTTACCCTGCTTCGGTGGGAGATGGCCAGCATTTTATAAAAAATATGTACATCTGTAGTATGTACTGTACTGTAGTTATTTTAGTCATTAGTCTATAAATATATAAGAACTCAGGTATGATGAACCCTGGATTCAACTACTGTGCAAATAGATTAGCAAATCTATAAATCTCAGCTGCTAAAAAGAGTCATCTGGCAAAACAAAATCTGTTTAGAGCTTAAACTCTTCATTCCCATTTCATGGACTTGCCATCAAGAATTAGCAGAAGTAGTGTTATACAGGGTGTCTCACAAGTCTGTACTATTCTTCAGGAGCATTCAAACATATTGTTTAAGAATTAATACAGTTTGTATATGGCTGTTAATGGCAATCAATTTGAATCATGAATAATGTGAATTGTGTATGTCCCTTTTAGTCCAGTGTTCTGGGACACCCCATACACTGTACTGGTATGTATGATGGCTTGAAGGATGAACCATATTGAGATGTACTACACTATATTCATTTCTACAGGTCTTTGTTCAGAAGGAATTGATCTGTTGCAGCGTTATGTAGATCTTACTGGAGATGTACAGACAGTGGCACTGGTCACTATACACACCCTCCAGCATGCTATGACTAAAGATTCTCGCCTTTCTCATTGGGTCCAGAGGTAAGTACCAGAGATGTACAGACAGAAGCCATAATTACTATACACACCTAGGATACTGTTACTAAAGATTCTTGCCTTTTCTCATAGGTCCAAAGGTAAGTGTTTCCTTCTATTATCAGACTTGCTGCAATACTGCTTATATTGACAGCAGATTAGTGAGTCTTCTTTTAGAGAATAAAAAGGCACAATTCCATGGTAGGAACAATACATAAATAGCATGCACATACGAGACTGAAACTCATGATGACATTTCAGGCTGACTGGGACCATTAACTAGTTACTCAGTTAATAGTCCAAGTTGGAAGAGGAGAGAGAGATTTTGGGAAATGATGAGTGAATGTGTGGGGAGTTTTTAACCAAGTGTGAGAGTACTTGTGGTTGGAGATTTTAATGCTAAAATGGGTAAAAATGTTGTGGAGGGAGTAGTAGGTAAATTTGGGGTGCCAGGGGTAAATGAAAATGGGGAGCCTTTAATTGAGCTATGTGTGGAAAGAGGTTTGGTAATAAGTAATACATATTTTATGAAAAAGAGGATAAATAAGTATACAAGGTATGATATAGGATGTAATGAAAATAGTGTGTTAGATTATGCATTAGTGGATAAAATGTTGATGGGTAGGGTTCAGGATGTACATGTTTATAGAGGGGCAATGGATATATTGGATTATTATTTAGTTGTATTAGTAAAAGTAGGTCTTAGACAGGGATGTGTAATGTCACCATGGTTGTTTAATATACTTATTGATGGGGTTGTAAAAGAAGTAAATGCTAGGGTGTTCGGGAGAGGGGTGGGATTAAATTATGGGGAATCAAATTCAAAATGGGAATTGACACAGTTACTTTTTGCTGATGATACCGTGCTTGTGCTTATGGGAGATTCTAAAGAAAAATTGCAAAGGTTAGTGGATGAGTTTGAGAATGTGTGTAAAGGTAGAAAGTTGAAAGTGAACATAGAAAAGAGTAAAGTGATGAGGGTATCAAATGATTTAGATAAAGAAAAACTGGATATCAAATTGGGGAGGAGGAGTATGGAAGAAGTGAACGTTTTCAGATACTTGGGAGTTGACGTGTCGGGGGATGGATTTATGAAGGATGAGGTTAATCATAGAATTGATGAGGGAAAAAAGGTGAGTGGTGCATTGAGGTATATGTGGAGTCAAAAAACGTTATCTATGGAGGCAAAGAAGGGAATGTATGAAAGTACATGTATAGTAGTACCAACACTCTTATACGGACGTGAAGCTTGGGTGGTAAATGCAGCAGCGAGGAGATGGTTGGAGGCAGTGGAGATGTCCTGTCTAAGAGCAATGTGTGGTGTAAATATTATGCAGAAAATTCGGAGTGTGGAAATTAGGAGAAGGTGTGGAGTTAATAAAAGTATTAGTCAGAGGGCAGAAGAGGGGTTGTTGAGGTGGTTTGGTCATTTAGAGAGAATGGATCAAAGTAGAATGACATGGAAAGCATATAAATCTGTAGGGGAAGGAAGGAGGGGTAGGGGTCGTCCTCGAAAGGGTTGGAAAGAGGGGGTAAAGGAGGTTTTGTGGGCGAGGGGCTTGGACTTCCAGCAAGCGTGCATGAGCGTGTTAGATAGGAGTGAATGGAGATGAATGATACTTGGGACCTGACGATCTGTTGGAGTGTGAGCAGGGTAATATTTAGTGAAGGGATTCAGGGAAACCGGTTATTTTCATATAGTCAGACTTGAGTCCTGGAAATGGGAAGTACAATGCCTGCACTTTAAAGGAGGGGTTTGGGATATTGGCAGTTTGGAGGGATATGTTGTGTATCTTTATACGTATATGCTTCTAAACTGTTGTATTCTGAGCACCTCTGCAAAAGCAGTGATAATGTGTGAGTGTGTTGAATGATGATGAAAGTATTTTCTTTTTTGGGGATTTTCTTTCTTTTTGGGTCACCCTGCCTCGGTGGGAGACGGCTGACTTGTTGAAAAAAAAAAAAAAGTATTAGTAAGAGGTAGATGGGACAAAAGGAATATGGCAACAGCAAGTAAGAGAGAGGTGGAAGTGTATAAACTAAGGGAGGAGGAAGTTAGGGTGAGATATAAGCAGCTACTGGCAGAGAGGTGGGCTAATGCAAGTATGGGTAGTGGGGGGGGGGGGTTTGAATGGGATGGGATACTTTTAAAAATGCAGTATTAGAATGTGGGGCAGAAGTTTGTGGTTATAGGAGGGTGGGTGCAGGAGGAAAGAGGAGTGATTGGTAGAATGATGAAGTAAAGGGTATGATAAAAGAGTAAAAGGTAGTTTAGGAGAGGTTTTTACAAATCAGAAGTGATATAAAAGAGGCAGAGTATATGGAGAGTAAAAGAAAGGTGGAGAGAGTGGTGAGAGAGTGCAAAAGGTGAGCAGATGATAGAGTGGGAGAGGCACTGTCAAGAAATTTTAATGAAAATAAGAAAAAAATTTTGGAGTAAGATAAACAAGTTAAGAAAGCCTAGGGAATGCATGGATTTCTCAGTTGAAAACAGAATAGGGGAGTTAGTTGATGGAGAACTGGAGATATTGGGTAGATGGCGGAATATATTGAGGAACTTTTAAATGTCGATGAAGAAAGGGAGACAGTAATTTCATGCACTGGCCAGGGAGGTATAACATCTTTTAGGAGTGAAGAAGAGCAGTATGTGAGTGTGGGGGACGTGCGTGAGGCTTTACATAGAATGAAAAGGGTAAAGCAGCTGGAACTGATGGATCATGACAGAAATGTTAAAAGCAGGGGGAAATACAGTGTTGTACAGGTCCTCCATCACAAATCTGGCATCATTGGGACCTGTAGTGTGCCAGATTACTGAGTTTGCCGAATTACAGAGTGATTAAGTTAGAATACACTTAATAAAATTAACCAACCTGACTTACACAGTTCATTGAACATCGGCAAAAATCGAACATTTCTGCTACTTTGAGCTCAATTTCAAGGTACTTTTCATCATGAAAGCAATCAAAATCATCTATATTTCTGTAATATATCTTCCATTATATCAAATGAGTCCAAAAAATGAGAATACAACCATAAAAACCATACGAAAATATACTGCAAAGAGGCGGCTAATGGCTGAGAAGTGAACTCCCTTATTTATCGTCCGTCATTTTTATTTTTGTTGTACGTTAAGAAGCATCTTTCCATCATACATTGCCCAAGTTTCAATGAGATAGCCCAACAAACAACCGAGAAAAAAGATATTTACCAAAAATCATATATGGCAAGCCCAAGCCAGGTAATGGAAATAAGTCACTTTGTCTGACTTTTCTGGGTTATCCTAGGTTCTCTATACATACACTGCTATGTATGATAATCTATGTAACTGTATTTGTGTATACCTGAATAAACTTACTTACTTCTAGTCTGTCAACTGAGTACAAGAAACCGCCCATTCACTTATTTCAACTACCCAGTAAAGTGGTCAGAAATTGGCAATTTGGCCGATTTCACACAAATTTCAACAGATGCCAATTTCAAAATAGGATCCAGAATAAACAATGTAGACATTCCTGGCACTAAAATAACATTTTCTCTGTTCATAAGTCACAGCTACAGGCCCCTCTTATATTACTCTTGCTTACCATTTGGAATTTTTATTCACAAAAAAAAAAAAAAAGATTTATGGTTATGCAGACTACTGCATTATTGTAATAATTGTATAAATAATGTCAATCCATTCTTGAGTCCGTACTGGAATTTAGACTGGCAGGCGGACAGGTATTGGACGGTGATGTCATTTGTTTACTCTTCAGCTTCGCTAAAGAATAGAACATTTTCGTTACTGTGAGCGCAATTTCAAGATACTTCTCGTCATGAAAGCAATCAAAATCATATCTTTTTTGAAAAAATATTTCCCCTTTCTTTCCCCCTTTAATAAGATAACCCCAAAAAAAATTGAGAAAAAAATAAAAAATCTAAAAAAAAATAAAAATAATTAAAAAAACGGGCCCAAAGGTAAAATTTGAACTCCGGTTTTTAAGGGTCTAAATTTTTTTTAAAATTTTTGGTGGTACGAAAATTTAATATCTTTCTTCCAAAATACATTGCCCCCCCCCCGGAAAAAATTAACCCAACCCCAATGAAAAAAAATTAATTAATTTTTAAGGGGTTTAAAATTTAATTAATAATTAATTAAATATTTTTTTTGGGGTTATAAAGTCATGTCCCAATTTCGTCCTGGCTTGGAACATATTTGAGGAAAAAAATTTCCCCAAAAAGGGGGGTTTGTTATTTTTTACCGGTACCCCTTAAAAATAAAAACAAAAATTTTTAAGAAAAACCAATTTCGGGTGGCCCCCAAAACAAACCCCTCCAATTTGCCCCAATTAAAGAATTTAAAATTATTTAATCCCCTTCGAAATTTTTTGGGAGTCTAAAATAATTTTCTTTAAATATTTTTAAATTGGGAAAAGGGGGGGGGGGGTGTATTGGCACTGAAACTTTATTCCTCAAGGAAAAAATTTTTAACCTTCCCCACCATTATATTTTTTCCTGGTATCCCTTAAAGACGGAAAAAACAACCCACCCGGCATTAACCTTTTCCTTCCCCCCTCCCCAATCCTTATCCATAACTAAAAAAGGGTTATTAAGTTGGGGGGATAGCCACCCCCCAATTTTTCCCCACTAATTTTTTTTGGGATTGAAAGGTTTTTTTTTAAACCGGAAAAAGGAAGGGGGTGGTTTTTCCAGGTTTTAAAATGGTATTTCCCCCAAAAAAAAAATTTTCCCAATAATCCCAACCCAAAAACCCCAAAAACCGGGTGCCCCCAAACCGGGGAATCCACCCAAAACCCTTCCTTCAACAACAAACTCCATTAAAGTTCCCCCATAATTTAAAAGGTTTAATTTTTTTATTTTTTTTTTTTAATTTCCACCCAATTCCCCTTTAAATTTAAAATTCCCGAAAACCGGGACACCGGCCTTTTCCCAAAATCGGGGGTGGGACCCGGGGTTTCCCATTTAAAAGTTCCCCTCCATAAAAACCCCAAACTATTTAACAAAAA